AAAAAGTGTACAAAGGCATGGGGAACCAAGTGGTACTTCCAGGCTCAGGGAAGCACTAGTTAGTTTTTCTCATTTCTCTGCAAATATCTTGGCAACATAGTTTTCCCTGGCTCCAGTCCTGCACTCAGTCATGGGCCATGCTGGTGCCAGTACTGCTCACCGTAGTCTGGCATGCACGGTAACCAAAGCAGTTTTCACGACTCTTGGTAAATATCAAAGCTGGGGATTTTTGGGGCTTATTTTACAGCAAGTTGAGTAGACGAACCAATAAGGACAAAGATAAATGAATACCTGTTGCCCTTGGCTCAAAATGAAACAAGAGAGGCAGGTCACTGGCAAAGGTTAGTTAATATCACTTACCACAGTGTCACGGAGTCGCCCTTGGCCCCTGACGAGAAAGGCAGAGGAGGCAGTTTTTCAAATACAAAGTGAGAACAATACTGTGAAAAACTGCAAAGTAATGGCCTCCAAGCATCCCTTGCCTGTGACCAGCTGCAGGCCAAGGGAGATGTTGGATGCCTTTGCTCCCAGGACAGCACACAGGGACTCTCACCTACAAGGGGATGGGGGCAGCAGGTGGGGAGAGGCTGAGAGGAGGAGGAATGGAAGGGAACTAACACAAAGCTTTGGGAGCATGATGCGCTGCTTATGATTGCAGGAGAGAGAGTGAAGAGCTGGCAAGACCAGGGACCCTTCCAGGGAAACTGAGTTCCTGCTGCCCATGGGCCCTGCCACTTCTCAGGGGTCCAGCAAGAAGAAGGGAGTCAGGTGTGCAGTGTGGAGCACCCACACCAACCTACTGTAGCTGGATCCTCAGCCCAACATACCTGCAGTGCCTCAGGCCTGGTGCTTTGAGGTAAAGTGGCACCTACCTTTCCTTGGGAGAGAAGAGGTAAGAGTGGCTTTGCAGAGGAAACTGGGGTAGTATGTGAAGGACACCAGGGAGCTGCGACAAGCATCTAAGCAATAGAAAAGTGATGGGGCTCACCTGCTTGGGATTCAGGAAAAATATTGTACCACATCACCCTGGGGAGAGCTCTGTTCTGAACTAGGGAGTATGGGAAGGAGCACAAGGGTTATGACCTGAATGTAAATCTCACAAAACAGGAGATAGGCATGTGCTAGATGAGGCTGTTGGCACATCAGGAGTTCCTGCTGGTGGTCCTGGTTGTTGAGGCACCTCAAGTATCTCAGAAGCAGAGGGACCTGCAGGTGAAATGGCCGGGAAGCACCAGTGTTGCTGAGTGGGGTTATGTCTGACAAGAACCATCTGACACCATGGGGTGGCACCATGAACCACAGAATGACAGAAAGGTCCGGGTTGGATGAGATCTTTAAAGGTCATTTAGTTCCAACCCCCACCATGGCCAGGGACACCTTCCTCTAGACCAGGTTGCTCAGAGCTCCATCCAGCCTGGCCATGAACACTTCCAGGCTGAGGCATCCACAACTCTGGGCAACTTGTTCCAGTGCCTCACCACCCTCATTTTAAAAAGATCTCATATCCAATCCAAACCCTTTTCCAACGTAAAACTGTTGCCCCTTGTCCTATCACAAGAGGCCGTGGTAAAAAGTCCCTCTCCAGCTTTCTCATAGGCCTTTTAGGTACTGGAAGGTCTCTACGGTCTCCCCAGAGCCTCCTCTCCTCCAGGCTGAACAGCCCCAGCTTCCGCGGTTTTTCCTCAAAGGAGAGGTGCTCCAGCCCTCTGCCCATTCCCGCGGAGCTGCTCTGGACGCGTTCTGACAGCTGCCCCCCGGGCCGAGAGCGGTCAGCACTCGCAGCGCTCTCCCAGGCCGCGCAGCACGCAGGGCGGGCGCTCCGACCCCGCGCCCGGCCGTGTCCCCCAGCGGGAGCGGTGCCGGGGCCGCCCGCCCTGCCCGGCCCGGCCCCGCCCGCCCCGCCGCTCCTGCGGCCGCGCGGCGCCTCCCTGCCGGCGGTCCCGGCTCCGCGCCGCCTCCTCCCTCCCCGCCGGAGCGCAGGGACGCGCCTGCCCGCGCCGGGGCAGCAGCGGGCCGGGGGCAGCCTAAGGAGCACACGCGAGCGGGACACGGCGAGGCCACGAGAGCGGCCGGCACGGGCACAGGGAGAGGGAGAAGAACCGGCCGCGCAGCCGCTGCCCGGTGCCCAGGCACTGGAGCACCCCGCCCGCCGACGCGGCTCCCTGCGTGGCCTGTCTCCAGCCACTTCGTGGTGGCGGATTTACGTGAGCACGAGCGAACCTCTGCTGGAGCAGCCAGCGAGCGAGACAAGAGCTGTGTGCCAGCAGCGGCTGCCGTCCTCAGGGCTCCTGCACCCAGGGCCAGCAACTGCGGCTCTGCCTACAGCCAACTACAGCCACCCACGGAAGGGATCCACGCGTGTGTCTGTGCGCTCATCAGCATGAGGGGTGCAGCCCGACGACAGGCTGGACTGGGAACGTGGGGCTGGCAGCAGCCCCACATCTATCAGGCTATCGGCTCCAGCACCACCGTCGGCGTACGAGATCCCATCAGCTACGCCCGGCAGTGGCCCACAGCGCACCTAACACAGGATGTGGTGGTATGGAATGGCCAGGAGGTGCTTCCGGCCCTTTGAGAAGTGTCCGTTGACTTTTCCAAGCCAATCCACATTACCAGTCCTCGCCGTACCTTCCAGGCGGGAGGACACTGCCACAGGTACAATAATTGCTATTTTGGTTTGGAAGCACGTTCTGGCATGCAGCAACACAGGATGTGCCTGGCATGTGCCTGCTGCTCCTCCCCAGGCCCAGAAGATGCCATGGTAAATGCACCAGCCTGAAAGGTGTTCAGTGGGACCACCTCTCCCATGGCAAAACTTTTAACACTGCTAAGGTGGGGGCTGGGTTTCAAAAGGACACATGCTACTAGACTCAGGAACATCAAGTAGCCTGTCTCCGACAGCAACCAGGAGGGATTTGCAGCCCTCAGGACTACACAAGAGATGGAGCCTTTTCCATTCAATACTCACAGGCTGTGGCTTAAAGAGGGAAAGGCCCAAACTCTCTGCATTAACTCAAATGAGTTATATCCTAACCAAGCCTCCTGAAAAGAAATGCCCTAAACTTTGAGTGGCAAACCCCTTGGTTTGCAGTAGAATGGAATGCAGCAGAAGGTTGTTTGGAGGACAGAATCATGGAGTGGTTTGGGTTAGAAGGGACCTTAAGGATCATCTCATTCTAACCCCTGGGCATTGCCAGGACTCAAATAGCTCCTGCCCAAGCCTTGGCTAAGCATTAAACTGATCCATCCCTCTTCAGCTACTGCCTTTGCCACTGCTTCTAGCATGCTTGGTTTCAAAGGGCACCTTATATTTCTCATCCAAGCCAGCTGTTTTCATAGCAGAAATTTTTACTGCAGTGTGGCTATTTGCCAGAGAAGGGCCATTGTCTGTCTCCACAGCACTACCACTGCTTCTGGAAGGTGTGTGACAGCTGACAAGCTCTCCAGGTGAGCAAAAAGTACAAGATGCCTGTAGCTGGATCTGATATTCCACAGGGAGCACCTGCTGACCACAAAAGAGGAAAGTGATACTTGCAGGAGTCTGGAAATTCATTACCATGTACACTTTGCAGAGGGAAATAAAGTCCTGAAGAGATATGCAGGCCCAGCAAGGGCTCTGTGTCCTTTCAGCAGAGCTTGATGAGAGACAGAGGTATCATATTTTTTCAAAGTATGAAGATTGGCTCCTGACAGCAGCTGAGGAATGGGTCACATCTGAGCCACCTACTCCAGGGTCTGGGCAGAAGGAACAGCAGATGTACAGCTGCCCAGCTTCAAGGGCTGCACAGTAGGCAGTGGCAGCCAGGCCAGACACTGTTTTTCTCCACCAGCTTTGTTTCAGGTCCTGCCCTTGCTTATCCCTCTAGAGAACCTCAGCCAACAAGTTCTCCTAGGGCAAAAACCTTGTCTCTAACAGATCTAACATGCTTCACACTAAATAAGGCACCTGGCAGCATTTTGTGAGGTCTCAAAGGAAGAAGTTATGGAATGGGAGGAGAAATCCAGGAAGGAAGTATGAAGAAGAGAAAATCTGACTAATGTCAGATATCCCCAGAGGTTAAGGATTAGAAGAGGAGGCTACAGAGAGAGAAACATTCACTAGAGAAGTAGTCATGCTCAAGGAAGACCTCCTCCCATGCTGTTGTCACCTTTAGGTCAAGCTCATCTCAAACTGCTTCAGTGCTCCTGGCTGGAGTGTGCATCTATATCAGATGCTGAAAGTTTCTTTTCACTTGCAGTTTGCATCAAAGTAGCCTCATCCACAGTGGAAAGGGGTTGGACACTAGGAGAAGACTGGGTGCACCATTGCTCCTCTGAGAGCCCTCAGTGGTGCACATATGTGAAGATGGGGTCTGCCCCAGTCCGGACCACTGCCTTCATACCTTTGAGTCAGGAACACAGCCATACTGTCAGGGCTTGGTTATTCATATGGGGATGCTGATTTTTCAGTTCTAGCACCTGAAGCATACCTGACTGATTATCTTCTCAACCTCCACACTCCTGTGTTCAGCACCAGCCAAAGCCCAAGGCAAGATTTTAGGAGCTTTCCCAGCATGTCAGTTAGGGGCAAGGCTAGGACCTGGCAGAGACCCAAAGGAACTATTCTACACCTCCATCCACAAAGGGATCACGACCACAAAGACATCATGATAGCTCCCCCATCTCTTTCTCATCCCTGAAATGAGTTCAAATTGCTGTAACTGGGACTGAAACAAGAAGGACCAGGTAAGGATGAGATGGTCTCCCTCTGCCTTTCCAGCTGGCAAGCCATGCCTGCCTGTCCTCTTTGGTGCAGCACTGAGCTACTTCTTGCTTGACAGCAGTCAGAGCTGCCTCCAAGGCTCCCAGCTTCTCTAGGGTGAATTCTCCCAGCCCACAAGTACTAAAACAATCACAAGAAACACCTCTGGGACCTGCTCTACCATGCCACTCAGCCAGGAATGCACCCAGTATGTTCAGCCCTGGCACATGCTGCCACAGTGCCGAGATCTTCCCAGAGCCCACTGCGGCCTGACCCAAACAGAGGTACGGGAGGACGGCATACAGAAACATAACATTTACTGAGAGATACAGAACTGAATATTATGAAGGACATACATGGATGGATAGGGTAGCGACACCACTGCAGAGGGCATCTTGGACCCCCTTCCCAGCATGCCAGGAAAGGAGCTGGATGCTACCAGACAAGTGACAGAATGGAGATAACTGCGGCATATGTGTTTGTATCAAACAGACCATCATAACATACATTTCTATGGGATCACGTCTAGTGATTATATAAATCCTTATAGAGATTGCTGTATAAAAACTTTGTAAAAAATACTTTAAAAAAGTGTAAAAATGTGCATTCAAAAGCACGGCCGACACGGACAGCTGGGCTGTAAACATTATACTGAGTGTGCTTGTGAGGGGCGCCTGCGCCACCAAGCCCCGACAGGCCTGCCCACCAGACGGGGCTGCATCAAGTGTTTGTGGTTCTTGGGTTTGGGTTTCCTGCTGGAGCATGCTCCAGGAGCAGCAGCAGCCTCTGGGCAGGGTGCTAGTGGGCACCGTGCAGCTGCCACTCCTCTGCCTGCCGCCCCTGCTACCCACGGGGTGTGTGGTCCTTGCAGGACATGTGGCATCGTGGGTCCCCAGGGCTGCGAGCAGGCTGGAGGGCTGTGATGAGGTATCACAGGGAGGTTGCCCTCACTGGTGCCACTAGCCCTGCTCCCAGGTTCAGCCTCAGAGTACATGGTTGGCAGGTTCCTGATCTTCTCTGTCCCCATATTTGGTCCATAGTTCCCAAGGAAGCCCACTGGGTCCTCACTGGGTCCGCACCAGGTCTGGGTGCACAGTTCTTCATACAGTACATACATTAGAGACCCTGGAACACCCTGTGCCACTGTCTCCTCCTCCTGGCCCAGTGCCACCTTCACTTCTTCTCTAGCTGCTCCAGCAGCGGGTTAGCTTCGCTCTCGGGAGTCTTGATGCTGTCTGTCCGCACGATGCAGGTGGGACGGTGCCGGTTTAGCATCAGGATCAGCTGCTGCCTCTCCTGTTTCAGCTCTTCTATCTGGGCCTTCAGTTCAGCATTCATGAGCTCTAGACGCTCAGACTCCTAGCAGGACAGGAACACAACCACATGTGACTTTACTCCAGCAGGAAGAGATACGAGGAGAAACAATTTGGCCAACAGCCCTTGCAGCATGGGAGTGGACTGAAGACCTGCCAAGGCACCAGGTCCCTCCAGGCAGTTCATCCCCAGCCCTGCTGCCTTGTGCTACCTAGTGCCACTACAGGGAAACACACAGCCACTGCCTGGGACAGGTCTCTGCTGCACCACAGCAAAACCTCTGCCTGGCTGCTTTCTGTGGTCTGGAAGGGTGCTTGGGAACAAACCTATGTTTAAATTTTCACCCCCCGCATCTGCAAGGACCTGCCCTTGTGAAATGACTCCTTGTCCCCCACTGTGTCATTTGCCCATGTTTCACCACTCTTTGCAGAAAAACAGCAAGGTGCTGTGACGATTTTTCTGCTTTGGAGTCAGGGGTGAGTGGGCATCTGGCTCTGAACAGGAAGATCTTCAGGAATTCAGGCAAGGGGCCAGCATGGTGCCAGCCCGTCCTGTGCCATGCTCATGTGGGTGCTCCTGCTCCAGCACTGAGGCAGGAACACTATCATCCCTCCCCCACCACAAGCCCAGAGCCCTACTCCAGCCCTGGCACCACAGGTAAGCTCTGCCTTGGCATATACATGGCCACCACCTTCAGAGCCTCATGAGAAGTGGGGGCCTGTATTTTCCCAGAAAGAGGCACAGGAGCAAGGGGAGGCTGAGGGGCAGTTCAGGAGGCAATGTTGCCTACAGCTGCAGCACCTTCCTATGGAGGTCCCTGCTGTGCCCTGGGACAGACTGGGGCACCCACCCGCTGCAGGAACTCCGTCCTCTCCTTCTTCTTGTTACGACATCGTGCTGCTGCTACTTTGTTTTTCTCCCGGCGCCTTTTCCTCCTCTCCTCTTCCTCATCCAGCTGCAACAAGACAGAGAAGCCCAGGTCAGAGCCAGCAGATGTGGGTTAGGTCAGGAGGTAGGGGTAAGCATCTGGCAGCCCCACCAGTGGCAGGGCAAAATGGCAGCCACCCATGTCATTGGCCTCCAGTGACGTGATCTAATCCTCACCAGGAACCAAGTGTGCTGCTGCTACAGCCTCTAACTCCACTTTGTGGGGACACAGAGAGGGAGACCCGTGTGGCATCCACAGCTGAGGGCCTGGCTGGCAGGGGACAGATAACCCTTCACAGGGCTTCTCCCTGCCTGAGAAAGGGCAGAGACAAGGAGAACAGAGCCCCTTCCCACAAAGATGAACACTGTTTGTCACACAGACATCTATAGGCACAGCTCTGTGAGCACAATCATTCAAAGCATCACACAAGCAGCCAAGGGTAAGAGGTAGAAAAACCTGAAAGATCTGCCAGCTGGGCCTGACTGTTTCCCCCATTCCAATGCCTGGGACTGGTCTGCTGCAGCTTCGGTGCTGGCTGAGTCACAGGGCAACCATGGTAAAGTGGGAACAGGTCCTGCATCCCCTGTAAAGAAGCAGGACGCAGCAGTGCCTGCACTGTTTGCTATGTGCTCTCTGACACAAACCACACAGACCAGGTCAATAAGCCCTATGGGTTGGAAACCTGTAAGCAAAGTATTTAGGGATATTTGCTACAAAGCCTGTGTAAGCAGCCTATGGCATGCTTACATCCAAGAACCCAAGCCAGCTTCTTCAAGAAAAATCTGAGTGCTGGAAAGCTGTGTGAAGTCAGCATCCAGGTTACACTTCGTAGCATGGATAGAGATCAAAAGGTCCTCAGTGCCTTCATCCACATTTGGCCTGGGACTCTCAAATTTGAGATGTCAGACTGAACTACCTCACTCCTATTGACTGATACCTGATGGCCAGATCTACCCACATGTAGGTGCACCAATAGTTCCTGCTGGTAATGAAACTGCAGGTTCCATCATCCACAGTAAACTGCGCACAGTGCTAACATTCACCAAGTCCAAAACCCACTAAGCAAAACATCTCAGTGTGATGTGTAAGGACTGAATGAAACATGGACTCAGCAAAGTTAAGGTGAAGGGGTACCTCAAGTAAGCTGCATATCTGATACACAGCATGTGGCATGCTTTAGAAGGCAATGTCCAAGTTTTATAGCACAAATAGATTTGTATCTTCTCTACCTTACTTTCCAAGCATTATACCAAAGTTGCTATTTTAGCTGGGGCTAAAATATTAAGCAAAGTCAGCACAAGCTATACACAGACTTCCATAATGCCAGGCTGCCACCATTCCTTTGCCAAGGCAGTGTCATGGGGCACCATGTACCACACTTAGGAGAACTAGGATGGGAACTGCACTGATACCCCAAGTCTAGTCAGAAATGGATAGCTCACACTATAACCACATAACAGATGTGACAGGTGACAGCAGAAATTATCAGAAGGGCTCTAACTCCATGCTCTGCTGCCAGCTCTTAAAAAACTTCCTCACAGAGTTTAAGAGGAGGTGGATATCAGGGTAGCCATGATCCCCCTCTGCACATTTAACAACCACTCATCTCCCCCTAAGACAGCTTCTTGGCCTTTTAGTTCAAGGATTATTGGGAGGGTGCAGAGAAGGAACACGTGCTCACAGCTGCAAAGCTCAAGAAGCACCCCCAGACTTTGCTGAAAAGTACATCTTGGGTTGTAACAGCAACTGGAAGACCAAACAGCAACTGCACAAGCCCTGGGAACTGCCTGACATATTTCCATGCCTCATTGCTCCATTCAACAAGAATCACAGAATAAGTGACTGTCCCTGTCCCCTTCAGCTTCCTTCCACCCTGCAGAGGGCCCAGCTGTGAGGGGTGTGTCCTTAAGATGGAGTGCAGATGCTCAAGGAAGTTGGCTCAGCACAGATAGCGGCTGCTTGAACTCTTGGCTCTGCTTTTTGACCACAGCTCCTGTAACTTCATAGAACCATGAAGGTTTGGGTTGGGAGGGACCATAAATATCACCTCATTCCAACCCCCCTGCCATGGGCAGGGACACCTTCCAGTAGAGCAGGTTGCTGAAAGCCCCACCCAGCCTGGTCTTGAACACTTCCAGGGATGGGGAATTCACAACTTCTCGGGGCAGAGAAACTCTCTTCTTCAAGAAAACAGGTTTCCTCCTGTCTGCTTCTGCTTGATTTCAGTTCAGAAAGGTGACATGGCCCTGGTGCTGGGGGTTAGGACTTTACTCAGAGGCACAAGGGCCAGTGATGGTATATCACCAAATGTTATGTCTCAGCAGTTGATCTCCAGGGGATCCCTGTGGGAGGTGTGGGGATGCCTCCTGAATTGCTTCAGTCAGCAGCCTCAGAGACCGAGGTGATCATCCGCCTGAGAGGCAGGGTTCTGCCCCAGAGGGAGCACCCTAGGCAGGTTGCAGTAGTGGAAGAGCCCAGCAGCAGCTGTCTACAGCTACCCCAAGAAGAGAGCAGCTTGCCCAGTGAGGCTGTCCATCACCCTGTGGGGAAGCCAGCACCCAATACCCACCAGGTGGGTTTTGTGTGCACTCCGAGGCACAAACACCCCAATGCCAGGAGATGCTGGTGCCCCCAGCAGAGCAGAGAGAGCTGCCTGTGCCCAAGCTCACAGGGAGCAGTCTACCCTCCCAGGCACCACACAAAGCATGGCATGCCTGTACCCAGTGCTCATGGGCTCCGGCTCCCTGCATTAGGAAAGTAGCTGCAGGCTACTTTTTGCTGCATTGCAAAATTATGTGTGGGCAGCTTCTTGGCTACTCATGGGATAAGCAGCTACTGCTTCATCTCCCTCAGGCTTTTGCTGCAAAGCCTTGCCAAGGGCAGCTCCATTTGCTGTCTTCAACTCCTCAGATTCACAGGTCATGCAGGGGAGGAACCAGCTGCAGGGAAGGCTGTCATGCAGGGGCTGTCAGTGGATTTCCTCTTATCTTTCCTCCACATGGTGTCTCAAGAAACTGGCTCAGAGGACACTCAGCACTTTCAGTACCTACTGTGGGGCAGAACTGCCCTGTCTCTGTTAAGCAGATACCAGTGAGATCACATACCCATGCCCACAAAAAGCAAAAGCAGCTGTTGCAGGGCCAGCTCAGAGGTGCCTGAGATGCCCCAGGAAAGGAGCTGGGCCCAGGAAAACAGCATAGCCACAGACTGCTTCTTTCTTCCCCAACCCATGAAGCAAGATGGGCATTACAGGCCCATTTGCTGTAGGATACCCAGGCCAAGAGCTTGCAAGAGAATTTGGCTTCAGCTGCAAATCCATGACTGCTTTGTCCATGGAGGGACCAAAGCCACTACCATCCCCCAAGCCCTTACAACGTCCTCTCATGGCACCCTAGCCCAGCTCCTTCCATTGCAGAGCTGCCCAGTCCTTCCTCAGGTGATCTCCAGGCTGCACAAGCTGACTGGACACTCCCTTGGGCACAGAGCTCCTATGCAAGGTGATCAGATGGACTTCATCGTACCCGCCCTCCCTGCAGGAGTCCACATCAAGGGGCTAAGGGGGAAGAACAGGGACCCTCCCCACAGGTTGGCCTGGCTACTGCTCTTCTGCCAAAAGAGTTGGGCTAAATTAAGTGTCAGCACCATCTGAAGAGTGGGTTGCTCCCTGGAACTGCTGTTTTACCCCCTTCAGCTCACAGCTCATCACAGGCAGCCTTTCACATCATCTAGCACTTCCTTGCTCCTGTCTCCAGAGAACACACATCACCCCATCCTCACACGGCATCATCCAAAGTAACCTCACATACAAGCAAATGCACTGTTCAGAAGGGCTGTTTATCGGACCTTCTGAGAACACCCACCATCCTCACCAACGTGGGACCTCTGAACTGGTGGGTTTCCAGCTCCATCTGCAGGCAGTGGGAGGTGCAAACACTCACCACCTGTACAGCCAGAGTCAAAGACTAGAGAACCAATACATAGGACAACCATGCAAGGAAAACGCTGTGCAAGTGTCTCCCTAGTCCCTTCAGCCTAGTTCTGATGTGCCAGCCTGCGGTACCAAGCAGACATCACCCACCTTCCCCATGCTAGGAGACTCAAGGTGAAGCAAGGGCCCACCCCAAGCAGGGGGGGCAGGGACAGCCCCCACAGCACAGGCTGAGTCACTGCTGCCACTTTGCACCACTTGCCCGTGCATGTCATCCCCACTGGAGAGGCAACAGCAATGCCAGAAGCACCAAGGCCTTGGTTGGCACAGGTGACAGTTTGTGAGACTCCTCCTTTGGGTGCATGCCCCAACCTAGGGACATGATGGCTGCACCAGACCCCACTCCACAGGCAGGGTTTGAGTTCAGCCAGCTGCCAATGGCTGCAGGGGACTAGTCAGGTCTGGGACAATGGGGCCACCACTGCCAGCCAGTGCTGCAGGGACAAAAATTCAGGCAGCTGGAAGAGGCAGCTATGAGAGCAGCTACCAACATGCATGCACATCAAACAGGCAGCGTGACATGCTTATAAAACACACTGCTGGCCAACCTGGCAGGACAGAAAAGCACAGGCAGGAGGGAAACCCAGTCAGGTGCAGACAACGACCCTGCAAGGTGACCGGCAGCCAGCAGCCCCCCCCAAGACTCACCTCACTTTTCACAGGTTGGGGTCTCTTCCCAAGCTTCACCTCCAGGAAGTGGAGCGGCGAGATCATGGCCCCGATGTTGCGGATGTCGGCGCACTTCAGCTCCTCAGCAGTCAGGGCTGTGCCAGGCAGTCCTGTCAAAGGGCCGAGCCCAGGCAGCGCGCCAGCCGTCAGGGACGGGTCGGGGATCTGCCCTGGCATCATAGCAGGGGAAACAGCTTCGTAGGCTGGAGGGAGAGTGAGACATCTCATTACAACCCAGCCTCATGACACAGCACAAGACAAATTCATTCTACAGTCCCATCACCTAATGGAGTGAGAACCAGGGAAGGGAGACATCCTTCCCCAGGGATGGCAAAGGCAGAGACTAAGCAAAACCTGCATGACAGAAACCAAAATATATTAATCCTGCTTGGAAGAATAGGCTACTAGGATACAGATCAGGAAGGGAAGAGACAAAGCACCAGAAGAACAGGAGCTGGCTGCAGTGACAGTAATGATCCCACGGACTACTGGTTTTGGCACATCTGGTCAGGGCTGGGACACAGCACAGAAAGACCACAGATAAAAATGCAAGATAAAAATCTGCCACTGTACAAACATCTCCCAGCACAGATGTGAGGAAGCAAAGGCTGGAGGGGAAATGGAGCAAGGTGAAAAGACTTCTTCTGTCACAAAAGAAAAACAAAAAGTTGCAGTGTAAGTGAGAATAGGATCAGGACAAACTTTGGCAAGTCACTTATGGGCAGAAGAAAGGAAGTTATCAAGAAATATGAAGAACAAGTAGCAAAGAGAAAAAGAAATAAAACTATACCTAAAATGGGAAGCTCCCAGAGCTGGAGCTGTTACATCAGTCCAAAAGCAAAGGGAGCAGATGGTTATTGGCTGCAGCACAAGTACATCCCTGCTGTGTAACTGGCCTGGGATACCTACAAGTCACCTATTTACAACGCAAGGAGTCAACTTCTGTCTGCACAGCAACCATTTCCCACCCTTCCTCAACTCAACATGTCCCAGTGTGTGTGCACTGCTCTCCTTGCTCTGCCCAGTCAGACCAGTCCCAGCACACTACAGGAGCCTCCAGACATCCACCCCATCCTGCCCCAGTGCAGGAGGCACTGACACAGCTGGGATGAGGACTAGCAATGTCAGGAGAGATAAGCAGGCTAAAGGAGCAAACCCAACCACTGTGCAGCTTCCTGAAATCACAAGAGCTAGTCACAAGGCAGGATTCAAGGAATAGCTGGGGAAACTCATGGAAGCTCTCATAGCACCAACTGCCAGAATGAGGAGGTGCATGTACTTGCCCTGCTCTTTCCGAAGCATCCACTCTCAGCTGCTGAGAGACTAGGTTAGAGGTGATACAGACTTTTGGTCCAGGCAGTATAGTTGTGCTAAGCAGAGACACACACACACTTTGCCAAGCCAGCTGCCACAGTTGCTCAGCACTTGCCATCCTGGGGTGACAAATCTATGTCAGTACCAGAATGAAAACTTGAATAAAGCTGCGTGTGACACAGGACTGCTGGGTCACAGAGTCACAGAACAGTTGAGGTTGGGTGCAACTTCTGGAGATCACCTGGTCCAGCCCCCCTGCTCAAGTGGGGTCAGTGGGAGCAGGCTGAAGAGGGTTAATCATAACAAACAGAGAAGTTAAGGATTTCTTGGCACTGACACATCTCTTTACCTCGGAGATTATATAACATATTTGTTAGTGTGAAGGAACAGGAGATAAGCAGCAGAAGGGAAAGAAAGACAAGCATACATGTTAGTCAAGGGCAGAGAGGCTAATGCAAGCTCCTGTACAGACAGGAGGATTTGCAGCAGAGTGTGCACAAGCCTCAACGAGCTGTGAGCTGTCATACAGTCTAACCTGCCACCAGAGAGGTCCAGGTGTCAGCACGAGACATCCCCTGGCAGAATTTGCTCAGCTGTGACCAACAGGACTTGAGAAAGAGCATGGAAAAGCAAATGCAGCAAGATAGAGATTATGAAGTGGTAAGCAGGAATCAAGCCCTCTGCTCCAGTCACCCTTTAGGAGACCAGAAAGGGGAGAGCAAGCCAGCATTCAGCAGTGCCAGGAGCCCTGCTGTGGGGAGAGGAAGCTGGGCCCAGGGACTGTGATCTGCACAAGATCATTAAAGCATGAAAGGGAGAAGACAGGAAAGAGAGACAAGTAACTTCTGAAGTGAAATGATTCTACTTGATGAAATGGACTCTGCCCATTTGGTGACAGAAAAGAAAGAGAAAAATATTTGGTAATGATACTTGACCTCAGAAAAGACTATAGGTCAATTCCTTGAGATTGTAAGGACCTAAACTGATCCAAAGTATTTGCCTTCCATAGTGATTTCTAAACCAGTTGTAATTCCACATCAGCAGTAGTTGCCTTGTACGCTGTCTGGAGATGCCGATGCAGCAGGGCTCTGAAGCTGCACGCTACCTCCCTCCCCCTTCCTTTCAGGCCTACACATGACTAAGATGCTTCATCTGTCCAGACACCAGCACCATCATACCCTTAGGCTGCCCTCCAGACGGAAAAATGCAAGTTATTGTGCCTGAATCCCTACCGTGTTCCTCAGAGACTGCCCCTCTCCAGCAGAAAAGCACTAGGTCACTGAGGTGGCATGGCAAAGGGGAAGTGACCCCAGAGGCTCTTCCCAGGACACATTGCCACAGGACACAGCTGTTGTGGCATTAAATTAAGTCTACCATTTTGGGATAGCTGCACACACTGCAGATCTAGCCATTTCTCAGATGCTGCCACCAAGGCAATATGCTGTGGCACTGAGGAAGACACCTGCCAATAGCAACACACCCTGGGCCAGCTGCTGCACGACCCTCACCAGCAATCCCACAGATGTCCATCACAGTTTGAACACCTTGAGTTTAAGCAAAAATTTAAAAAATAAAATTAAATTAAAAAAACCATCTGAAGTCTCTATCCTGCAAATACCATGTGAGCTGCCATGGAACAAACTGATTTGGGGCCTTGACCCACCCTTTCACAGGCTTCAGGCTGGAATTGACTTGAGCCCAGCACTGGATAATGAAATCCACTCTGGACTTGGGGGATCTAGTTTTAATTAATTCACAGAATACGCTGAGTTGGAAGGTACCCATCAGGATCATAGAGTCCAACTCCTGGCCCTGCACAGGACAATCCAAGAGTCAGACCATGTGCCCAAGAGCATTGTCCAAACACTTCTTGAACTCTGGCAGGCTTGGTGCTGTGACCACTTTCCTGGGAAGCCTGTTCCAGTACCAACCCACCCTCTGAGTGAAGAACCTTTTCCTAATATCTAACTTAAACCTCAGCTTCATGCCATTTCCTAGAGTCCTGTCACTGGTCACAAGAGTAAAGAGATCAGCGTCTGCCCCTCTGCTTCCCCTTGTGAGGAAGTTGTAGACTGCAATGGGATCTCCCCTGTCTCCTCTTCTCCAGGCTGAACAAACCAACTGACCTCAGCTGCTCCTCATAAGGCTTACCCTCAAGGCCCTTTACCATCCTTTTGGCCCTCCTTTGGATGCTCTCTAATAGCTTTATGTCTTTTTGATATTGTAGGGCTCAAAACTGCACACAGGACTCAAGGTGAAGCTGCACCAGTGCAGAGTAGAGCAAGACAATCACCTCCTTTGATGGGCTGGCAATGCTGTGCTTCACTGTCATCACAACATGCAGCTGACAGCACCCAGGCTGGACAGTACAGGTCCTCAGCCAGACTGAATGCAGAGTCACTGCAATTTATGAAAAAAAGAGCAAGGAGAAATCTGTTTTCCAGACTGTGGCACAATCTGGCCACTGAGTATCCTCCCCCCTGCACTCCTGAGCCTGGGGCAGCTCCCTGGGGACAACTGGCTATTTGAGGAAACAGTTTTCTCTGGCACATCTTTTCCTTTTACATCTTTGATCTGGTAGCTTAATATGCCTTGAAAGAGCCTCTGTACCAGTGTAACATATGGCACAGGTCAGAGTGAAGGAGCTGGCCCAATATCCAGTATGCTCTAAAAATGTATCCTGGATCCAGGGACTGCACTGCTAAAGCCCACATTATACCTGCATCAGTGTAAACTAAATCTAAAACTGATCAAACAAAAGTGCCAGAAGTCACCTGGAAGAACATATTAAGATGAGCTGAGAACTAGGTGGAAAGGGGAAAAAGTGACTTCTACAAACAAGACCTTGCTCAGGGGTCAAGAAGCTCAGAAGCACATTGAGAACTCCCAAGAGACAAGTGCTTGGAGAGAAATGTAACACCATTCCCAGCAGGGCTATAACCATGGACAAGGAAAAGAGATGTCATCCCTCTCTGCAGAGCAGGGGTGCAGTAACATCATCCTGCCCAGTTCTTGATGGCCCTCAGCCCCAGGCATTGTCACTTCCTGCTGATTGGAGGGACTCTCTTGTTCCACTCCTCTTTCTCATGTAAGCACAGCTTTTTTTTTCCATCCTAAGTCCCAGATACTTTCACATTTTTTTCTGGTTAGTACTAGAGGTAAGAAGAACCCCAGGGCATGGAATTCTCTTTAATACTTCGGTCTTCTTCCTGAGGCCGTTACCCTGGCAGACATGTCTACCTATAGCTCTAGCATATTTCTACCACATTCACCTGGTAGGGCAGAAAAAACTTTGAAGTTCAAGATCTGAGTTTAACCTTTAAATTGCAGTTTTTCAATACCACATCTTGCTGGATGGGGTGAATACGGCTGGTGCCTTGCCAATTCATAATTACTTTCTAGATATTCCCTTGCAGTGTTTGTTATTTCTAAGGCACATGAACCAACTCACCTCTGTATTCCTTCACTTTCTAACACAGTGCTTTAGATAGGATTCTTATTAGATTTTTTCTGTTCAGAACTGACTCATAATACAGCCTTTTTTCCTCAGTGCCAGGCAGTCTTTCAATGTCTCCTTACATGAGCTTGGAAGTGTCATGTCTCCAGCAAAACCTAGTTTTCTGCTGTCCTACAGCTGAACCACACAATTCTTGCATTGTATCAGCTATGCTTTTTCACATAATGAAGCCAACAGCAAAACAGCAAGGGGAAAGAGAATGTGCAGTCTTACATACGACCCTGGGATCTGCATGACACCAGCTGCTTAAGTTTACATTCACCGTAGCTATGCCTTCTGTTCCAATACTATTCATCAAGATGCTCCAGAGTGAATTAAGAGACAGAGAAGCCTTTCTTAAAACTTCAGT